CTGTCAGAGAGAGCTAAAGGTCACTACCACACTGCAACTTCATACTGCTCTACTTGGTTTTTAGATGACTTGCTACATTCACCATCACCCACAATTTTCTCTCAGTTTGGAAGAGTTCTATTAAATTTTAACACACTGTCTTTTTCAATGGCAGAGAACCCCTCTTGCTGGATATCAGCCCTAGAGGCATGAATTATATATCTATAAATACACTCATAAAGCAAAAAAGCAGAGCAGCCTTCAAGGCTAAAATAGACCTTTTATATCCCTAGTGATTTCTCCAGTTTAAAGAAAAGTACAACTTTGTCCAGGAAAAAAAAAAAAAAAAGTATTTATTTCCGAGTTAAAGTGCTAACTTTAAGGGGTACAAGTAGTTTTTTATTCTGTACCAAAGAAAAATTCTTTGACTGGCATAGGAAATTAGGGTGTTATGAGTATCAGATTTTGTATCACTTTCCCTATTACTCTGTAATTTTAGGCTTATTGCTTGTGTGAATATTTTCATCAGAATAGACATCTGGTTAATCCCTAACTCCGTAACCTTTTGGCAGTGAAAAAAAAAAAAAAAAATTGTCGGCTGCTCCAATATTTATGAGTGCAGACAACATGGATTCAAACAAAGTCTTGCATAACTTCACACAAATTAAGACATTTATATTAAGGAGAAAGGATTCTTCCCCATCTCAAATCAAGTGTGAACTTGAAATCTCCAGTATACTACACCTTAAATGTGAAAGTGTAATTTGATACTGAAATTGATTATACATCCTAATTCCTATTCCTGTCCCAGGAGGCTTTCATGTTTGTGATTATCTAAAAATGTGTGTCTTGACACTATAATTCCCATTTGTATTAATGACTCCTGCATTCCAGTCGACTTTCTTTTCAACCAAATGCACTCTTCCAATTCCTTAAAATGCCAGCATAAAAGGGCTACAAATGCTTTTATCATATCATTGATTAAATACCAGGGGAATTCAGGCTCAAACTTACTTGACAGAGGGCATCATTTATCATTTTTATTCCTGCTACCAAGATTAATAACAAATTGACAAAAAAAACTGAAGATGAGTAGTTTTGACAGATTCTGTTATTTACATTCCGCAGTAGTAGACCCATCATTTTAGTTTTGAAATAAGCTCTTACTTTATCACTTAGGGGCTCTCCAGCCTTTCAGAGTCCTATATAAATTAACAAACAGCAGGACCCTCTTTCCATCCCATTATGAGAAGGTAGGTTTTATTTATTTATTTTTAAATCCAAGAGAGATGCTTGTATTAACATGTTGAATAAGAAGGATATTTCAACTTAAAGTTGGGGTGATTCAACTTCAGAGTAAGCAATTTGTTCATCTCATATATGTCTAATAACAAAGAAGCTTTAACTAAGGATGAGAAAATAAAAAAGAAAGAAGAGGTAAATTTAAGACTCCAGTTGGGTATCACAGATGGTTCTATAAAATTACAAATGAATGGCACTGTGTGATCATGAATGCAGCGATGTTAATCTCACTTAAAGGGACGCTAGCATGGCACCATAAGATAAGCACTGCACGAGACCTCAAGGTTAGTTTGAACAGCAAGGTCGGCAGTTCCAACTAACCAGTCAGTCATTGGAAACCCTATACAGGGTCTCTATGAGTCAAAACGGACTCAAGGACTCTTAACTACAAAACAACAGCGTCCTATCCAAGAGTCTGCCTGCATATCTAAATTGTTGGTGTAGGAGACAAATAATTTACTCCTTGTCCTTTATTCTAGTTTCTTCTCTGTTTATTCTGTGTGGGATAGATTTTTGTTACTTCCATAAGGAACAAAAGGCTCTGCTATTTGTGTTGGAAAAGAACCAACATGATAAACCTTTGTTCAAGTTAAGCTTGGTAAATGTACAGAGCAAATTCCCTTAAGTAAAGTGAAATAATTCCTGAAAATTACCTAGAGAATCTGGAGACAAGTTGCAAGGGCATCCACTGGTTCTCTCTCACGGCTCTTCTCCTTTAACTCAAACATAGACCTCACCCATGTATCATCTTACATTAACCTCCTGGGGCCTCCCCTACTAGAAGAAGAAAAAAAAGTTAGCTCAGGGTGAGTTTTAGGACTAGTTTACCTTTAGGGAACCGTGTTCCAAATCCCATTTATAAAAACTAGTGAAAGTGTGTAAATTATGCATTAAGCAAGTTTCAAGATATATGAATTATATATGTTCACAATGTGAAAAATAAGTAAGTTGGCCAAGTAAAGCAAGTCAGAAGCCTTGGCAAATCTGCAAGGATTATTTTGTTCAATAGTTTCAAACTCTAAGCACTAGAATAGAAGCTGGGGTTTAGAGCACAGGCAAAAATACTGTAAGATTTTCAGGAAGGTTATTGTTTTATTTCCTAACATAATTATCAGGTGGGCCAGAGATGACAGTGCCACATTCTGCCGTCCCTTCTTTTTGGGTATATATTTTATACAAAATAGCCCCCTCCTAATTCAGTTTATCTCTGCACAATACAAAATTAATAGATAAATAGACAGGGAGTCAAATGAATGCAAGCTACTCTACTCAGGTGCTTTGAAGGTATTTAGTTGCTTTCTCCTCAGGTATCCCTTCTCTTAGCACACCTAAAACCTGGACAATTAGATGCTACAATACTGCCTGAGGTATGGAAAGAGTTTAAAGATACCAGGTGTCGAAAGCTGACTGGCATGGGCTTCATTTCCACATTGTACATGAATCAGCTTTTAAAGGTAGAATCCTATTAGACTGTTGTAAGGCTTGTCCACTTCCAATAGTCCCCATTACTTTGCAGTTGTTGTTAAGGGCCATCGAGCCAGTTCCAGCTTCTAGTGAGCCTGTAAAGGGTTTCTGAGGAGTGGATGGTGAGCTTGAGCTGCCAACCTTTCAGTTCAAGCTGATCTTGCATTTCAGTTCATTAAACCATAGCACCACCAGAACTCCAACTTTGCATTATTGAACCAGGCATCTGGATTTGCCACAGGCAAAGAGGGAAGGGTATCTATGGGAAAGTCCTATCTGTTAACAGATGCTCAGACACTGGCCATCCCATTATAACAGACTTATCACCAAAGGCAGAACACTAAAGAATACTGTAGTTATTTGAATGTTTAGTAACCCAGCTCAGAATGCGGTCATCATCAATGATAATAACATACCATCTGTCCAACTAGCTGATTTAATGGCACAGGTGAACATCTTGACATGCTTGCTAGAGAATTTAGAAAAATAATAATTGGAGTACATTTTTTTCTGGAACAAATTCAATAAAGAGACATGGGCTAGAATTTCTTGAGATTCTTCCTTGGTTTGAAAAAGAACATGTCAAGAGACACAGAAGAGAATTTGTGTATCTTGCTTACATAGGTAGATAATAAGTTTGACCCCACTGTTATTGTGCAATAATCACCATGCCATGTGTTTATACTCATGATTTGCAAGCACTGTTATTTAGTAAACTGTTCTAGACTTAAATTTTCTCAACTCAAACAACATATATGGTAAGTGCAATACCTATGTGTTGAAGGGAAATCAATATATTCTTGCCATTCTAGTTCAGAGTCACTGATTAAAAGAACTCACGTTGCAAACTCTTCCTTTCTGAATCTAAAAGTAAGTTTCCAACAAGTCATGGGTATCTAAGCTGGGTATTTTTAAAATCTAGTTTCAGTTCAGCATGTGTTGTATGTAGCATAAAAGCAATATGTAGTAAGCAAATGGTAGACAGATGCACACAGGGTGGACATTTAATAGTCAGGGAACTTTCTTGAGAAGTATAGTCAAAATTCACGCTTTCAACCTCTTGTAAGTGCCCTTCATTTAGCTTATAGAAAAGGAAGACAGCAACTAGTAAAAGAAAGCAAAATGAGAGGTAGTAACCTAAGAATTTTCTAAAGATGGGGTTTTTATGTTCTTTAATCTTGGTGGTGAATATATCATTCTCATTTTCATGGGAGCAAATAAGTAGAAATCCAGGAAGACAATAAAGAAATGTTCTGACTTATAAATTAAGCACATCCATTTTATACATGCACATATGTATACACAACACACACACTGATTTGATAGCCAGTCTGCAATTGGAACAATATAAACAAATGCTATCATCTCATCCGCAGATCCTAGAAAAGCCATATTTGAATTCTATTTAAATAATTACTTGAGAGTATCTTTGTCCCTGATCTAGGGATTTCTGATTTTGGTAGCAAGAGGCATATCATGGCAACAAATCAGTCTGCAGTGGTTAGGCTATAATCAGGATGGGTCCTTATGATCATTCAGTGATCACTTGAGGCCCAACCTGTGAACTGACAGTAACTGACTTGTGTTTACAAATATACTAATTCTCTTTTTCTTTTTCTTTTCAATCCCAGGAGGTGAATTAGTTATCCCTCTTCTTGTAGAAGACCCTTTAGCTACCCCTCCTATTGCTACTCGTGCACCTTCCATTACACTCCCCCCTACCTTTCGCCCCCTCCTCACCATTATTGAGACCACCAAAGATTCCCTGTCCATGACCTCTGAGGCGGGGTTACCTTGCTTGTCGGACCAAGGCAGCGATGGTTGTGATGATGATGGCTTGGTGATATCTGGGTATGGCTCAGGGGAAACCTTTGACTCTAACCTGCCCCCTACTGATGATGAAGATTTTTACACCACCTTCTCCTTGGTAACAGATAAGAGTCTTTCCACTTCAATCTTCGAAGGTGGCTACAAAGCACATGCGCCCAAGTGGGAATCCAAGGACTTTAGACCTAACAAAGTCTCCGAAACTAGTAGGACTACTACCACATCTTTGTCCCCTGAGCTGATCCGCTTCACAGCTTCCTCCTCGTCTGGGATGGTGCCCAAATTGCCAGCTGGCAAAATGAATAACCGTGATCTCAAACCCCAGCCTGATATAGTCTTGCTTCCGTTGCCCACTGCCTATGAGCTAGACAGCACCAAACTGAAGAGCCCACTAATTACTTCCCCCATGTTCCGTAATGTGCCCACAGCAAACCCCACGGAGCCGGGAATCAGACGGGTCCCGGGGGCCTCAGAGGTGATCCGGGAGTCGAGCAGTACAACAGGGATGGTCGTCGGCATTGTGGCTGCTGCCGCCCTCTGCATCTTGATCCTCCTGTATGCCATGTACAAGTACAGGAACAGGGACGAGGGGTCCTATCAAGTGGACGAGACGCGGAACTACATCAGCAACTCGGCCCAGAGCAATGGCACGCTTCTCAAGGAGAAACAACAGAGCTCGAAGAGTGGCCACAAGAAACAGAAAAACAAGGACAAAGAGTATTATGTGTAAAGATTATAATACTACTAATAAATGAATTAAAAAAACAGAATTATTTATATATAAGTATATAAATACTTTGAAAATGAGATTTGGCAGATGTCAAAGTTGTTGTAACTATGAGATGACATATACCATAACTATGGTGGGGAAAAAAACCAACAACAAACATTTTTACAAGGACACACACAATGATCTCTAAAATTCAGCCATGGTTGCTATGTTTCAGTCATCATTCGGAGACAGAAAGTTCTTTCTGCCCTGCTGTATCATAAAGCACACACTTAGTTCTCTGGATGGAGCAAGCACATGGCTCCACCACTTTAGCGGACTTGGGAGCTTCCGTCTCTTGAGGACCTTTCGACAAAAGGTAGAAGACTTTACAGCTTACTTGTTCCGTAACTCCAAGTGAGTCTGTAATCATGTTGTGAAGCTTGACTGTAACAATGCTTTTTGTTTGTTTGTTTTTTAATTTCGGTTAATTATGTAAAAAAAAAAAAAAAACTAAACAAAAACAAGAAAAGAAAAGAAAAGAAAAAAAAAGTTTAAAAAACAAAAACAAAAAAAATTCCCCTTATCTGGTAATGGCCAGTGTGTGTGTGTAACTTTTTCGAGATCTAAGGGGAAAATGGCTTTTGGGTTTGTGTTTGTTTTTGGAGAATGACTGGACATAAGCTAAGAAGAAGAAAACTAACTCAGAAAATAAAAGTGAAAGAGACTATTGCCATATATGAACTCAAAAGCTACCATGGTATCCACTCTACATATCAGGTTGTGGTGTCTCTAGAATCTGTTGTTTGTTACCTATAAGATGCTTTGCTGAATGTTGATTTGAAAAACTGGTCCCCCAGGATCTAATTCCAGAATTTGCTGTCCAAATCCTGAACTGATGGATTCAGGGATGGTTTTATCAGAGCTATTGGCTTTATTTAACACAATTGTACCTGTTCATTAGCCCAGCCAAATTGTGGTAAAGGGGAAAGCCTCATAAACTAAAACAGTCTTTCCAAGCAAAATGGGTGGGGGGGCAGGCTGGATCTGTGATTGATTGAAATGCATGCAAATAAAAAAGGCAACAATAAAGATCTGTCAATCAAACCAGACAAGACAGGAGTTCGCCTTGTGATGGAACCACAAAAGGTCACACAAGCCCATCTCATCATGATGGAGTGCAAAATACATAGTTCTTCTCCCACCCACAACATGATAATATTTTACAGTCTTTTAATTTTCTAGTCTGACACTAACGGATAATACTATCCTTCCATTTGCTCATGTCTCCCTTCACCCATCTTTTTTAAAAAAACTAAATAAATAAATGAATAAAGCTGCTGTGACACACACAAAAAGGAATTTAATAGTATAATATATATATATATATATATATAAATATATATACAGATATATTTATCATGGTATGTTTGATGGGACGACTGAAACAGGACATCTGTTAAAGTCTTGAAGTGGAATGAGAATGTTGTTTTAACACAAAATAACAAAACAACAAAAAAGCAAACCTTAAAATGTGAAGAAAGTGTGAGTTTTAGTTTTGTCACAGTTAACTGTGTCAAAGAGAAAAAAAAATCTCAGATTTTGTTTACATATTTTACTACATTTTTGCTGGTGTAATTCCTTAGCCACCTATGTACATACTACTTTGAGAACTGTTCTTTCTCTTTGTTTATTTAAGTTTGTCGGATGTATATTCCAACTGTCTTTCTTTCTTTTTAAAAAGAGGAAACAATGTACAGAAAAATAACAACAACAATAATAAGCTGGTTGTGTGGCCATAGCGATCCAAAATAACAAGAGAAAAAACCAGACAAATAATTCGCACAAAAATGGAGATGTGTCCTCCAGAGGGTCTGATATATACTATTTCTTTTGTACAGATGAAAATCAATCAGCTGTTTAGATTTAGAAATCTACTCTTGCTGGTCTTTGTAAGTTGCATGAATATTTGACTTTGAAAAACTATCTTAAAGACATGGGGCAAAAAAGCGCAACCTTAACAATGGTAGCATTTTCTAATGTGTATGGAAAGAGGTGTTCCTCATCTGATATTTCAATGTGTTAACAGTTTGTTTGTTTGTTTGTTTTTTTCATTTCTTTCTGTTGTCATTCAAGAGACAGGATTATATGGAGATTTCAAAGCACGATTTAGATAATCTAAATGGCCCAACCTATATGAAGTTGATTATATCTTGATGTCTGTAAAAGATTGCTGTTTTTGGAGTCTTGAGGTCTTGTGAACTGATTTCCTGCTTTCTTTCTTTACATTATTATTATTTTTTTTGATTTGAGTAAAAATACATTTGTTCTATTCCTTTAAGTGTAAGTTTCTATTTGGACAATTTTATGGGAACATGTGCATTCTGTATGTGAGCTTCTATCATATTCCTGTTGTTTTATGAGCAGACCCTTAAGGAATTTATTTTATGATGTTGTGACGTTATGCTTTTTCTTTTTCCTTTTCTCTTTTATTTCATATTTGCATTTTCGTTCAAGGATATGCTTAGCAATAAAATGTTCTTCCCAAAACCTTGTATTTGATGTACTTTTATTTCCTAAACATTTGTGGAAAAACATTTTGAACTGAGGCTAGATATACTTATTAAAAGTCAGATCAGCTAAAACCACTTTTATGCATTGTAAAATATGGTCACCGGTTGCTAGTTATTTTTATCAACTTATCAAAAGTGACATATTTATGGTATAAACAATTATTGTCCGTCACCTGAGGCATTGTGGTCTAGATTGCTATGACACTGAGAATTGGAGGGAACACAATTTTCTGAAATGCTTGTTGTTGTTGTTGTTGTTGTTGTTAGGTAACATTGGGTCGGTACCAACTCATAGCGACCTTATGCACAACAGAACGAAACTCTGCCCAGTCCTGGGCACTGAAAAGGTAAGATGACATAACTCTGCAACAGATTATTGGAAACCATATTTTAAAAAAGTGTTTGGTATCTTTAAAGTATATGCCATTAGTCAGCAAACACAGAATACTATTCCAGAACCACGTTTCTATAGCACCTTGTTGTTGTTAGGTGTAATGGAGTCAGTTCCAACTCACAGAAACCCTGTATAGGGTTTCCAAGGCTTTGAATCTTTAAGGGGGCAGAAAGCCATATCTTTCTTCTGCAGAGTAGCTGGTGGGCTAGAACTCTGGACCTTGTGGTTCACTTGTTGTATGGTGCCACTGTAGTGCCATAAGCACTGGAAAACTTTAGATACCTGCCTTGCAAGCTTCCATGCTTTATTGAAATAAAAACAAAGAACACTAAATAAAAGAACAAAATTTCCATGAGAGCTTAAATGTTCACAGCTTCTTTCTAGATTTTTTTAAATTGTAAAATTCTTCATAAATTCATGATACGGTAACTTTTCTCACATCTCAGATACCCTTAATTTTTCTCTTTGCCTAAGCACATGCTTACTTTTCTAATTGGGTAATGAATCCCAATCCCTTAGAGTTTTCACCATGATTTGGAAATACAGGTTGAACTGAACATGTGTACACTATTTATCTTGGTTGCCAGTTTTCAAATAGTTAGAATAAAAAACAACTGTATATGCCAACATTATATCAGATTGTCTTAGTGGAGTGGTTGTGCTATTGGATATCATGAAATGGAAGAATAATGTTGTTCAGTGATGTCAGACTATAGGGAGTTTCTTCTTTTGTTTCTGTCTCAGAGAATTTACTTCAAGTAAAGCAATCATTTATCAGATCCCATTATGTGCCAGGTACTGTGTTAAGTGCTTGGAATATATGTAGTCTGTTCAACCCCGAGTGGTAGACAGTACTTCTCCCTCTCTTACAGACTCTGACCTTACCAGCATGAAGGTCAGTGGCTGTAGTGGATAGAACATAGATTGGCTCCCCAGCTGGACTGTTCCTTGTGTATGAGCAAATTTCATCATCTCTAGGAGCTCTGGTAGCGTAGTGGTTACGAATCGGGCTGCGAACCTTAAGGTCAGTGGTTCGAAACTACCAGCCGCTCTGCGGGAGAAAGATGAGGC